CTTATTTGCAAATAAGTTTGAATGGACTGGATTTATTTGAAAGATAAAAAAGTTGGATGTCCCTCTTTTAATTAAGTGTCCTTGTCATGGGCCTATTTGACATTACCCCTATTAAAATAGAGTTGTATTTTGATAACTCCTCCATCCGGAAGTAAAAATACATCCCAAATAAATAGTCATCAAATATTTTCCTAAAAAATAGGAGTACGTGAAAAAAGAAAAACCTCAACAATATTGAATTTTCTTTTCTTTACGTAAAAATCTCAACAAAATAAAATTAAATTATCTACGTCTTCAACAAATTTTCATGGAAAAAAAATCTCAAAAATATCTCAACAGATTTATTTTTTCTCTAGAGCTTCAACAAAGTTCCACGGAAAAATGATTTCGCTGCTTCAAAACTCTCCACACAATTATTACTGTTGGAACATTGTAGGCCGACTCGATGTGGCACTCACTATTGAAGAAACTCCAAGCAATTGTTCAATTCTAAATTATTTAATTCATACGTAATAATATTTTTGGTACAATTCAATCAAAGTATTGCGGATTGGTGGAGATTTGAATTGTTTAATTCTAAATTCAGTTGCGGTATACTGTATACATACATGCACATGATAATTTTTATTTTATTCTATTTTGAAAAGGTAAAAACTTGATTAATATTGATTTTGAGGATAGTTTATCAGAAAAATCGATTTGTATGATTATTTAAAATGGATTAAAATAAATAATATATAAATAATCATAAATTTGTTTGATAATTGTTTTTTTTGATACTTGTGGTTGTATAGAGATATTAAAGTATGATAATGGTTATCAAATGAGTATTTGATAACCCCATTTGGTAACAATGGGTTGGAGTTGCTCTAATCTCATTGGAGTTAAAAATATTTATTTTTTAGTGTGTAAATGGTGGTTAATGATTTGAATATCATGTTTGATAACTCCATTCCATTGGAGTTGCTCTTATTGGAAAAATTTGCAAGATATCCCTCATTTACAAAAGTCACGTGACCTCAAAAATTGAATTGAGAGAATCATTTTCTTATGTTTTTTCGCGATTTTCTAATTTACTTATGTTTTTTCGTGAAATTTGGATCAAACTGGACGTTAATCACAATGCTATTTGCATAGTCGATCTATTAATCGACTATAGCTGATTAAAATATTGAGGAGTATATTAGACCTGAAAATAATAAATCGACTATAAAAAATATAGTTGATTTATTAATCGACTATGCCAACAACATAGTCCATTAGCGTCTAGTTTAATCCAAATTTTGTGAAAAAAGCATATCACCGTACCGCCTTTGCAACTCCGCCGCCCTCGTCTAACGCACTGGAGCACGCCACCTACTCCGCCGTCACCCTCAGCGATAACCTATGTGAACTCTTCGTGGTCCCACCTGTTTCCGATCCGTCTCCCACTTCGACCTCTCACTCATCTCTTCTTGAAAGGAGTATAGATTTATCCCAAATAGTGAATTATGATTTTGGTTTTTCTCCATTAATAAAGTGTTTGAGGAGTTATGTCAAAGAGCCCTAATTTTATATATTAAAAAAAAAATAGAAACACACGAGAGATCCACGATGCTCTTCGTGTTTTTCTAGTACGAAAGGTTAAGATTAGCACATAATGCAAAGAGAAGGCGAGAAGGCAAGGCATAAGAGGGATTTAAATCCATTATTGAAATACTTTAATTTTGACTACGAAGGCTTGTAATTGTTTTATGAGAAGTGGTGGATATAATCAGGGGCGCGGTACCAAGATCAAAATGTAGGGGTAGGTTCACAAAACATTGCAAAAAATAAGTTTATATTACTAATTTTTAATTAAAATATAATGTATATATTATAATTATATCATATTTTAATCATAACAGAAAATTCTAAATTAATTCAAATTATTCTAATAATGTATTGCACTTAATATTTCGGGATTCATGGCACGATCTCAAGGCATTGATAAAAAAAAATTCAAAAATAAGTAATATTCATAAATTTTATTTAAAATAATACGAGTTTTAAGCATCTTATTTTATATTTTATATTAAATATGATATATTTATCTATAATTTATATAAGATTATTGGAAAGAAACTAAAAAAAAATGGGTTAAGACACATATTTACAAAAATTTTGGGAAGGCGAAAAGTAATATTTAAAAAATAAAATACCAAATATCTAAAAAAAAAAAAAAAAGAATTTATTGGGGGGTCAACAGCCCCCATGCCCCTTGCAAGTACCGTCCCTGGATATAGTATTTTTTTTCTCTTATATTACACATTGATGGGTTTTTTAATAGGAAATTTAAATTTATATTAGGGATAATCAGTTGATCGGAGGGAATAAACTCCCCTTCTACATGGTTCATTATCTTCACTTGTGCTAGAGCATGAACAAAGTAATTACCTTCTCGTTTAATAAAAACAAAAAGACAATAAGAAAACAACAATTACAAGTTCGTGCAATCTTCTATAAATGTTCTAAAGTAAGTTGAGTGTTATTCTTGAGCAACGCCTCAATAATTTGTTGGCAGTCTCTTTCAATTATGACTGAGCTCCAACCTTTTGCTAGCGCAATTCTCATTGCACAGTGTGTTGCATGAGCCTCCCCTTCCACAAATTTCGAGTTACCTGGAATTATTGGTGCACTCCACCTAAGGCATTCGCCATTAGACCATGTAGCCACCATTGCTATCTAGTAGTAGTTCACTATGTTGGCCGCATCAATCTTGATCTTGATATTTTTTGGTTTGTTGGATGGTTCAATTTAGGCGATTGAACCTTCGCCAACAGGGATTGGCGATAGGATTCAAGGAAGGACGCACACCATGATCGTAGCATGTTGGTCTAAGGGATGACAACTTAACCCGCTCCAACGGGTACCCACCATGCCCCACCCCAAAATTTCCCGACTAATTTCAGTTTCGTTAGTTAATGGGACAGGTAAGGGTGTTAAAAATTTCACCCGTAACGGATACTTGTCGGGTGCAAGTTTTGGATCTATGCACATGTATCCGCAACGTATCCAACCGCTTATATATTTTTAGTTAGTTTTATGTATTTTTTATATGGGTAAAATACAGTTTTCATCCCTCAAGTTTGTATCGATTTCATATTTGGTCCATTATGTTCCCAAAAACACATTTAATCTCTTATGTTTCAAAAATTCAACACTTTTAGTCATTTGTGTTAATTTTCCATTAAAACTAACGGAATCAAGCGTGTGTCCGTCACCTACTTAACTGACAAACTAATGGTAAATTGACTGAAATGACAAAAAATTAGATTATTGAAACATGAAGGATCAAATGTGTGTTTTGTGAACACGGGGGACCAAACGTGAAATCGGTGCAAACTTAAGGGATGAAAACTGTAATTATCCCTTTTATATATTATAAATTTTAATACTAAGTTTTAGAGATTCATCATTCAGAGACGGTTTCAGAGAGTTTGGATCGAGATCGATGCGGAGGTAGGAGTCCACATTGTTTCGCATCCAGACAGATGTCATTGCAGTCTTCAAAGTTCGCTTACGGGATACGTGGAACTCCCTTTCCATTTTGATGTATTGAATCACACATATCTATCCTGAGGGGAATTCAGTCGATGACGTTTTAGCCAACTTAGGATATCAAAGAGAGTTGGCTTGTACCTTCATTACGGCAGAGCTCCCCGTAACTATTAGGCAGATGATTCAGATGAACCAACTTGAATATCCTTCCTTTCGACGTCAGTCTTCTACATATGTGCCATGATTTTTATGTTTCTTTTTTATTTTCGTCACTATCCAATTTTAGTAGTTTTTCATATTAGGCAGATTCTCGCTTATTCTATAATGACACGGATGGGATGATCGTAGTCTGTTTCTGTCTATTTGGAGTTGTTTGTTTGCCTCATGATGCCATAGTTTTTGCAACCGTTGTACATGTTCCGCTCATCTTTGGTGGCACTGTAAGTGGTCAGGTGAACGGGTTCTCTGGATTTTCCCAAGCTTTCTGTGATCATTCACATTCTTCTTCCTTATCTTTAGCTTGGGCTGCATGTTTTGCCCGTGTTATTTTATTTTTGATATATTTTATTTTCTGGCCGTTGATAGTTTTAACTAATTTTCATGTTATAGTATTTTGCCTTAAACTATGTATTTACTTATTGGTTTTTGATCTATAGACAAGTTAGGATTCCAACACAACCCACTCCCATTGGGTATCGTTCTTCATATTTAAAAAACAATGTAACAATCACTAAACGCATAAGAAACAAAATCATGACATTTCATCTAAAAAGATAACGTTTCGAGGAAAACTTAATGGGGTTGTAACTTGTAATTACCTATATTAAGGAATTTTCCGTAAATTATCTTTACCCTGGGGATGATTTTATTCACCATTTTTCGCTTACTAAGTCAAGGATAATTTAGACAATTATCATTTTTTTTGGTCGAACGTTAGCTGGAGGGATATATTTGTAATTATCTAATAATTGTGTAATTCGACCCAAACTCAGACGATTTGTCGTAATTTAAGCAAGGGACTTGAATCACTTGATCATCCGTCAATCTTGTTTTGGGTATTTAGGTGCCCAAATAATTTTTTTTTTTAAAAAAAACTTTTTTTACACATAAATAATAAAAAAATATATCGAACTTTCGGTTAAATTTTTAGAAAATACATATCATTCGATGGCTTCAAATTCTTGTATATATAATGTAAAAAAAAAATTGTATATAGAAAAAGAAAAATAATAATTCTATTACTATAATTATTTCAGTCTACCTTCTTTCCAACATAATAATTCACAAAGCCACTCCCATCAGTATTCCAACATGTTAAGAAACCAGAGTCCAACCAAGAGAGAAATAAAAAAAATATATAAACATATATTTATATACCTTAAAAAAAACATCATAAAAATCAATATAATAGATATATAGATTATAATATGAATAAATAAAAAGGATAATAAAAAAATAAAAAAATAAAAAAAAAAAAAAAAGAAACCCCATGATCAGGGTGGAGTTTCAACAATGGTTTCCAAAGCAGGCTGCCATGATCTTTGCCTGGAGTATCTCTTAACCAACTGCGAACCAATTTCTGCTGATTCCTCCATTGATGAATCAGAATTACCATTAGGGAACAAACAAAACTCCGGAAAAATCTTTGAAATCTTGAGTTTCATTATTTCTTTGGAATATTTATGGCTGAGAATTTTTTTCTCATCATCTGTGAGAACAGAGTAGAGCAACTCCATGGGAAGAAGGAAGTACACGTGGCCTACTTCAAGCTCTTCCTCTGCGCATATTCCGGGAATTCTTTGGCCGACTATTAATTGGTTGGATTCACAGAGAAATTGGCCTGGATTTTCTAGCATGATTTCTGCTGCTTTAATTGCAGGTTCCCTTGTGTATGTTAGTTGTCTTCCGTCAATGGTGAGTACCTTTGCCACACCGTTTGAGGTTATTGAAGGTGCACACAGTGCTACATTCCCCATTCTTTTTTTCTTCTTTCTTCTCCTTTTTTTTTTTTTTTTTTTTTTTTTTTTTTTTTTTTCTTTTAGTGTTTGGGTAGGTGTGGTTTTTTGGGGTTAGAGGTAGTATGGAAGAAGAGAGGGGAGGGGTTTATGGAGATGGGATGCTAGTTTATATAAAGTTTTTTTTTTTTTTTTTTTTTTTTTTAATCACAGTAAACATCTACAAATTAATACAGTCGGGACCAGCCAAATTTTATTAATTTAGCGAAGTATTAATTTAACGAAATATTTTTTTTAACACGTTATCTTCGAGTCGGGACCGAGAAAACATATTATTTAAACGAGGTTATTAATTTATTAAGTATCAATTTATCAAGGTTATACTGTATTGACAATGTTTGGTTCTGTTTTCGTTTCACATTTATTTATGTTTTACGCAGACGAATTCGTGTTTGTTTAGCTTTTCAAAAGAAAAATCTGAAACGAGTACTTCTAGAGCTTCTCTCTCTCCTCCAAGTATAATTTGGTTGCTTAATAAAGATTTGGCTACTGTATTTTTGTAAGGGTAAATTACACCCACACCCCTGAGGTATGCTTAAATAACTGTAAGGTCCCTGTGGTATCGATAATTACACTCACCCCCTTGAAACGTAGTTATAAACTCTAATGGTATAATGCATTGGATATGTTATTACGATAGAGTTCTAACGGACTATTGGTTTCAGGAAGTGGTGAAGACAACAAAGAGTTATGAGTGATTTAAGAAATATTGGGGGAGTCATGTCACCCCATAACTCGCCATAACTTTATGTTATCTCCATAACTAGCTAAAAATAATAGTCCATTAGAACCCTATCGGAATAATGTATCCAATGCATAATCCCGTTAGAGTTTTTAACTACCTTTCAGGGGGTGAGTGTAATTATCGATACCACAGGGACCTTACAGTTATTTAAGCATACCTCAGGGGTGTGGGTGTAATTTACCCTTTTTGTAAATTGTTCTTTTAAAATACATTTTGTCAAACAACTTTAAACATGATTTGACTACTACTGTTTATTTTGTTTAATCTCAAATCATAAACGAACATTATTATCATTCTTAAATTATTATGTCAAAATATATTTCGCCAAAAAAAAATGGAATAACTCCCAAAACCATTATAAACATTGCCAATTTGGGTATATTTACAAAACTTTAATATACATACAACTGTATGATACAAAGGGTACATACGTCAATAACTTGAAGTGTCTCTGCAACATACTCGTCTGACGAGCTCAACACCCGACAAAATTTCGAATTCGTGTAAAATGTGTACAGTTTGATTATGTTAGAATCAAGTTTTTTTTTTACAATTTTATGTTTATAAATTGGATCGTTGATTTTATTTTTTGTATTTAGTATTTTATTTGGTATTACAATCATAGATACATGTTAGGTGCATATGATTACTAATAAAAACATTATTATTTTCACTTAATATTTATTTACAATAGAAAAAAATACGAGATACGTTTATAGTATCAAATAAAAATAGGTGAAATTGAAATGAACGTTATACTAAAATTTGATGTGTCCAAGAAAGATAAATCAGGAGAAAGATGAGAAGGTCCTGAAATTAGATTGTTGGTTATATGTATCAATCAAAGATATATTCATTTTATAAGTTGTTTAATTTGCAAATAATATTGATTGATAAATCATCAAAATAGCCATTGACAGGAATATTTAGGAATATTAAAACCAAAGCATTATTAGTTAGGTAGATTATGTATAATATTTCTTTAAGGAAACAAAAAAATGGTGCACTGAATATACATGATTTGAAGGATTGGTATAGACAAAAAATGAGAACTTATTCTACATTACTATTTGCTATACTTGATAAATTTTATCAAATTATATTTAATCTCACACACACACACACACACACACACACACACACACATATATATATATATATATATATATATATATATATATATATATATATATATATATATATATATATATTTAGTCATAATATATGACTTTAAAATGCAATTCAACTGTCTGTTTCCATTAATTTATGTACTTTATGTACTGAGAAATATTTATTAAAATATGTTGGGAAGATGAGAGTTTAAAAAAAAAAAAAAAGGATGACATAGTTCGAAGAAAAAATCAGAGAACAAGTGAGAATGACAATTTTTTTTATAATTATTTTTATGATAGCGATAGAGAACAATAAATTGAAATTCTAACATAACAATTTGTGAAGTTGAATTTATTAGAAAAAGTAATTCAAATGTACAAGTCATATTTTATATTTTGTATATGGAGCCAAATACACTAAAAAATGATATACATAATTGATAAATATATGATGATATGTTGTCCGTAATCAGCGGCGGGGCCAACATAGGGTGGGGGGCATGCCCACCCTCTCCCGTTCATTTCTCAAATCTTTAATAATTTATGCAAAATTAAAAAAAAATAAAAAAATTGTGTACAATAATATTAACGGTCCCTTTCAGAATTTTTTAATGCATTGAACCTCTAAACTTAATTTCCTGTCTCCACTAATATCTGTTATATTTTCACCGGGTACAACATATATCAGTCCACAAAACTAAATAGATATCTAAAAACTCATTTAAAAATTGTACAAAAGTTTTATCCCTTGATGTTTTTTTTAATATAATGTATAAATAGAAGGTTCCATTAATTTTAATTTAATTTTTTAAACATTCATGCACATGGTGAGGCATGGAGCAACAATTTGACTTTGTATGAATACTACACACAAATTAAGAGACCACCAAACCAATGATAGGACATGGGATCACCTATTTCTTTTGTACTATTCTATTTGGCTCTTACCAAACTTTATAGAGAAATCCAAATTACTTACATATTATATATATTTATATAAGCAAGATGAAGTCAGAATCATGCAAATAGTCAAGAAATTTCACATGAGCTGGTGAGGAGGAATCTCATTTCTTACAATATTTATTTATTATTATTTTTTTTTTATAATGCTTTTTTGTCAATATCTGAACTTCCATATGGTAGGAAGTCATTATCGAGTTCATTTCTCACTCGATTATGAACGTGATATTTTTATACTAGAAATGAATATCATCGCTATAATATGTTGGGTGTTTCTATGTAGCTCGGAAACTTCAACTTTTTAATATATCCGAAATTCGAGCACGTTTCGTGTTCGACATTTTAGAACACATGTCGGACACTTTATTGGTCATTGTACAATTTCAGAAAAATTAGAAACACAAATTTCCAAATATATTTCTTGTTTTTTCTAATTAAATATATATTTAATGATCAATTACAAATTGATAGTTGATAATAATATTTAGGGTAAATTACACTCACACCCCTGAGGTATACTTAAATAACTTTAAGGTCCATGTGGTATCGATAATTACACTCACCCCCTTGAAACGTAGTTATAAACTCTAATGGTATAATGCATTGGATACGTTATTACGATAGAGTTCTAACGGACTATTGGTTTCAAGAAGTGGTGAAGACAATAAAGAGTTATAAGTGATTTAAGAAATATTGGGGGAGCCATGTCACCCCATAACTCCTCATAACTCTATGTTATCTCCATAACTAGCTAAAAGTAATAGTCCATTAGAACCCTATCGGAATAATGTATCCAATGCATTATCCCGTTAGAGTTTTTAACTACCTTTCAGGGGGTGAGTGTAATTATCGATACCACAGGGACCTTACAGTTATTTAAGCATACCTCAGGGGTGTGAGTGTAATTTACCCTAATATTTATATGTTTCCCCAAGTTTCGGTATCCCTATTTTTGGGACATGTCGTTTCTTCATGTCCGTTTTCCCATTTCCGCGTATCGATCCTCATTTTTGTATTCGTGCTACATAGGGCTATTTTAACCAAAAAAACACGTTTTTATTATAAAATAATATTTTATTATAATGCGTTCTTTGACAATTTATGAGTTCATGTATAGCAACAATTTGAAACTTTCAAAAGCTTTGTTTTGCCGCATTACCTTCATATTTTCTTTAATTCTAGATTAAATAGAGATTTTCTAGTGGTAATATTTTATGCTATAAAAATGGAGCTTTATGGCTTTCCAAAAGGTATGAGAGAAGATAAACAAGAAAATATTTTTCTTCTATACTATATATGTATATTGTGAGCTTTTGTTGTGTCTCGGGTGTAATTGCTTCTGTTGAATGTGAAGTTCCGATGAAGCTACAACAGAGAAATATATGAGTTGTTGTATCCTATAAGCGATAATATACGATCGGAACCTTTCTGCACCTTATTTGAGAAGGGATTGTGAAATTCTCTTAAGAGAGCGACCTAGTCCGCGTCTCTCCTTGCCTATCTTCATATTATTGTGAATCTTATTGCAAGTAATTGTCAACTAGAGAGAGAGAAATGGAGTTCAAGTCCTAATCTATTATTTTATGATCGATCGTTAAAGTGTAGCCATAGTTCCAATATAATGTATATTTAAATTAAAACATGTATAATCACATTTTTAAATTCTATTTGGTAGGCGAGACTCGGCCAAACAAAGAGGTATTGAATTCAAAAATTTCCTTGCCTCATTTATGTTTAATATTTCTAATGGGGAACAATTTCATAAAACCAAAAAAAAACTACAAAATATATATATATATATATATATATATATATATATATATATATATATATATATATATATATATATATATATATATATATATATATAAATATACACATATATATATACACATATATATGTCTATAGTTATTTGTATATATATGTCTCTCTATTATATATATCTATATATATATATGTGTGTGTGTGTGAAGATATCTGTCTATCTCTGTATCTCTATTGCGATGCAAATATATGTCAGAGTGTGTC